GGGGGGGGGGGGGGGGGGGGGGAGAGAGAGAGAAATCGGTGTTTTGGTGAAGAATCAACAGAAAAAAGCTTCTTTTCTAGTAAACAAAAGTTGTTTACCAAATGAAGTGTGCGAGAGATTGGCAAAAATGAATAGCTTTGGTTTGGTGTTTATATGGGAAAATGAAGAGGAGGAAATATTTCGGTCACGTTTGGTTTGTAACATTTGACAGTATAAACGATGTAATTAAACAAATCATGTGGGTATTTAAGAGAATAGTCGGTGTGCTGAACTGGATACTAATGGCGGATAACGCAATCGACAAATATCTGTACACGTCTCTATTAATTATTTTTGTCTGGTCGAGCTTAACGACAAATATCTCATGCATTCTATCTGTATTGTTCGTGTCAGGTCGAACATGCCAAGCGAGTAATAAATGTAGCAATATTTGTTAGGAATATTTGTCTTAAAATTCTGGAGTTTATTATAAAGGGTTTATGTTTAACCCTGAGGTAGTGTTAAAGCTGGGGTAATTGAACCATAGTTAATCAAGAAGTGAACACTTGGCCGAACTGCTCAAACCACAGCCATGCCACCGATTGCCTTTGTTCAACTCATTGTGATACTCAGGAAGTCTCTTTTTGTCTCTCTAAAATTTCAAATTAATTGAGAAAAAAAAATAAATAAAAGAAGGAAAAAATCCAAAATTAATTAATTAAATTGTTGCCATGTAGGTGACGAAAAGCGGTTATATTGTCAGCAGATTCTGCCTGTGGAGATGAGAAATAAAACAACATCATTTTTGTAGTTATTTACAGGTGGACCCACCAGGACCTGAGCAATAAATATAGAGGACGCAAGTTTCTTTCTTGTCATGTATGTAATGCGTATGTTACAATCTTATTCCACTCCAAGAGGTGTTGATTATTGGATTTAATAATCACAATAGGAAATTAAAATTTTTCTTTGAAGATTAAGCCCTGTTTGGTCTCAATTAATTTTCATTCCATTACATTTCATTTTTCTCTCTCATATTTTCAACCACACAATTTTTCATAAAATAATATTACATGTAAACCGAAATTTCGTCCTTCTTTTTAAACCACTCATTTAAAAAAAAAAAAAAACATTATTTCACCCACTTTCATTTTTACAAAAGGGGGCCAAACAAAGGCTAAATTCATATGAACAAGAATGTTAGATCACCTTGAGATAATTGGATGTTTTAAATCCTCACATATAAAGGTAAGATAATAACATTGAATGAGTTTTTAATGGCCTAATCAAATATTTCCTCTCTTAGATCTTTTCTCTTGTCCTCCTTTAGGTGTCTTCCTCTCTTTAGGAAGCAAAATGTGGCTAACCCTAAAAGCATATGAAAATTTGCCCATATAAGCATATTTATAATACTCAATTAGGATTTGAAAATTGCACAAATTTCCTAGGATTTTATTGTAGTAGACCAATTAAGTCAAATACTTTTATTGGAGTCAAGAAAGGGACCTAACTGGACTCACATGACTCGAGCTCCAATAGATGTTTCTAATTGGGTCAACTCTTGATCAATTGAGATACATCTACTAATTCGGACTCATGCTATCAGAAAATCAAGATTGTACTCTCGAGTCGAGTAATAGTTATAGAAACAAATTATGATCTAGTAACTATATTTACTGACTATCGTTCCACAAGTCAACATCCATTTGATCGTCAATATGTTGAAATTAGCAAAATGATCGTTCTGCCCTTCAACATGTGAGTTCCATTTTCATAAGGCGAATTTGTTGTGATCAAATCACAATATAAAGTCCAACGATCTCATTATCGAACTACTGAGCTCAAGTTCAATTTGCCTATGGAAAATACCTTAGAGCAATGATCGTCTCAACTCAATGATTAATGAATTCCATTGTTGCAAGTATATGATCTCTAATTGTTTCGGCCCCATTTCCAAATCACTGAGATCAATCTTTTAATTAAGACTTCGCTCATTGGTATCTCAAAGAACTTGAACTAGTAATAAAATGTACATTACTTGCTAAGGATTTAAGTAACTTGTTTGATAATCGAGTAAAGTCTCATTTCGAGAGGTCACAAATGAGTTATTATTCAATCCCATTCAAAATGCATCAAAACATATTATTATTCTTATTCCAAAATCCAGACAAATGTTAATAAAAACAATGCTATCTTATCAACATAAAGCGTCCAACTTTATATAATCATTGTGAACAACATATTTTTTATCACAACACAAATTGTATCTTATTATACCCGGACCATCGAGTATACAATTTGTGACATCATATATGATCATTGGACCTTAGATAATCGTTTCAAATTGTAACACGCGAATAATCGAAACGTCAAATCATGAGGTCATTTTACAAAATACTACTCGAAGAAAAGGGTATCAAACTAACAAGATGAACTTCAATGAAAATAGGGCAAGTTTGATAGAATTTTTATTTTTCACACTGTTTTCTTACTTTTGTCTATTTTATTTCAAGTTGACCTGTAACTCATGTAGATTCGTTGGTAATTCAGAGAAAGGAAAAATAATACCATTTTCTTTCTAGAGATGTATGATAAATCATGGAAGGATATTCGAGATGAAAAATGGATGATGAGAAGAGGGGAAGGGAGCAAGTAGGAGTCTGAAAGATGATAAGGGATACTGTATTATTTTTATTTTTAATTTATTTAATTTAAAACTGATCGCACGCTCAATTGACAATTTGTGCAAAATTTACTAATAGGGATCTATATCTTAGAAAAATGAAGATTGAATCTCAATTGCCCAAAAATGGAATGGAATGCTAATTATTAGTATAGTAAATAAAATTCTTTTTATTTTTTATATTTATATTTGGAACACTTCAAATTAAAAATTCAACTAAACAAGAAAAATGGAGTTATTTGATCTTTTACACTCGGGCCACATGTGAAGTAACAATCATATGGTTGAAAAGTTGTGAATCCTTTGAAATGTGCGGTTAAAATTAATTATTGATTTTAATATCGATTTTAATTAGATTTTTTAGAGGTGTCAAACTAGAACGCGCGCACACCATATATATATATATATATGAAATGTGTGAGTGGGAATTTGGTCAGGACTATATTTCTCGTCCTTACCTCGTTTACTATTAGGGGGATAGGACAGAGAATTTCGCAACTCATATTTCTAGAAAATAACAAACCAAAAATGAAGAATGGAGGAGAAAGAGAGAAAATCGATTGATAGCAACCTCCAAACTTAGTTGCATAATGTGAGATTACAATGGTTTATATAGTGTAAAACTAAGGAAACATAATAAGACTAAACTACCCTTAACCTAATTAACTTATTACTTTAACATCCCCTCAAACTCACGATACTACGACAAGGAGTAACGAGAGTTTGACCAACAAAAAGCATAAATGATAAATCGAATTTGACTTCGTGTCAAAGTCTACAAGCTGCAATGACGGAGAGCAACGAAAGGTAGGAAAATGATGCCGAACTACAGATAACCAACGAAATCACACAATCTCAGCTAAACCCACTGCAGATAACTAATGAAATCACACAATCTTAGCTGAACCAAACGAATGCAAATTTCAAATTCCAAATGAACTTGACATATCAATTTCAAGAACTGACTATGCCAAATTCCAAACTCCAGATAAACTGGACAAACGAAATTTCTAATCCCATAAACTGGGCAAACAAACGAAATTTCCAAATCCCGTGAACCGAGCATCAAACGAAATTTTCAATCCCACGAACTGGGCACAAATTTCAAATTCAAGCTCAACAAATGCCAAATTCCAAATACTTTGGATCAATACCAAAACAAATTTCCAATCCAAACTAGGTCCAACATTAATTAACTGACCCAATAAGCTGTCTAATACGCCAAAAGCAGCCCAAACCAATCACAGAAACCAAATTGCTGACCAAACAAATTTAACCCAAAATTCAGCCCAATTGCTCACAAATAGGTTAATCTAAAACATATACCACAGGCTACAACCCATATACCATATAACAAAATACCCAATTAAATTACTGGCTCATTAGCCCAATAACCACCCCAGCAGGCCAACTAACCAATCCACTATTGCACAAACGCATAAATTTCGGCCCAACAAACAAACAACCCATAACTAACTAGCCCAAGTATTATCAACTGGCCCAATCTACAACTTTGGCCCATTTCGACAAACCCATCAACCCGGCTAGCCAACATAAACAAATCCATATTTTATTAACCAAAACCCACATATCATAGACCCAATTTCATACTCCAATAGTCTAGTACCCATAACCCACGAAACCAAACCTGGCCCAATCTCCCCAACTTCGTCTTCTATCTCAGGCCTCTCAGCTAGTCGATGCTCCAATTCCAGGTCAATCTTCCTCCAATCCAAGCCCTTCTGCTCAAGCAAGACTTCCCGAGGCTTAGCATCACCTAATGGGTTCATTTTGGGGTCTGCTTGGTTGCCCCTTCAGCCATCCCTTATTGCAATGTCGTGAGACTCTCTGACTTGCTCGAATGAGTACTCCCAGGCCTACTCGACTGTGAGCTAGTAGGCCTACTACAGCTAACAGAATGTTGTTGCTTTTTCACTTCAATTTCCATATCCATTTTCTTCCAATCCAATCCCTTCTCCGCCAAAACCTCCTCCCTTGGCCTTGCTGCCCCAAATGGATTCGACTTGGATCCACCATAGCCGCCTCGCCTTTCAAAAGGTTTCTTGGCATCGGCCTCACCGAATTCCCCTTGACCACCAGAAATTTCCACATTTCCATACGAGTTCCCATTGTTGGTTGAGTCTCTATTGTACCCACGCCCACGCCCACGCCCACACCCACACACATATCCTCGTCCACCACGACCTCGTGCAGATTCA